AAGACGTCTCAAAGATATCCTTCAGACTTTCTTATCATCTAAAAGACATTTTTACGCCGTCTTAATGTTATCTGCGAGCGTCTTTCCTGCAATTACTGCGCACAAAAGATGCGGAAAATCTGAATCCATTTACTGCGTAAAAATAGAACAATGAATGTACAAGAAACTAATTGATTAATAAGCGAGCCTGCTTATGTAAAATGGGCAGTTTTGCCTTAGAAGTATCCCCGAATGAAACTCTATCTAAGTTCGTGTCCATTTCTTACACGGGAGAAGAATCAGTCTTAAGTCAAGATAGATATTCTCACATCACGAGCAAGAATATCACGATATTCATCGAATTTCAGTCTTGGATCGAGTCCAAGCAATACTCGCGTCTAATATTAATTCAATTGAATCAAGGCTAAAAACCGTCCAAGAAGGTTATAACATTCTTGCTCATATACATGAGAATATCCTATTCTTGATTTACACTAATTTTCTTCTGTGCAAACAGTATTGTTACAACAATGAGAATATTAATATACCAGACAGTAAGTGGATAAATGTCTAGCAAAACGGCATATATTTCTACCAGGGTGTGGAATACAGACATTTTTACGTGAGCGAAAATAACAAGAACATGTGTATCACCGACGAGGTTTCTGAGATTCGAAGCGGCGCACGACGGATGATCGAGAATGCACGGAAATAATGCGCCCCCGGATTTGCGATTTCTCCGTTCGTCGCAACCGCTCGCAAACACGCGCGACGTTGCTCCGGCTTCCTCGCGGCGAGACAAATCGTAATAACTCGACGAACGCAAACTCGCGTAGCGACGCGCATCACGCGCCATCGCGTATTTCAGGCAACACGGATCCGTCACGGAGGATACACGTATGTAATATGTAAATGCGTGACAACGACGTGAAGTTGCGTAAGTACGGTTCGCGGGCGTTTCTCGCCGGCGAGTGTCAGGCGCTTCGCCTCGACGAAAATAGACTAATTAACAGCGAGGTAAAGAGTCGCGACGAGACGCACGATGAAATTTTGCGGGATTACGAGCGAGAAAGATTCAGAGTCCCTCTCGATTATCTCGCCCCGTCACGAGAGCGATCGCCGACGGATAAGCGGTTCTCGAGCCTTCCGGAAAAACCAATCGCGACCTTTCAATATTTCAATATCTCAATATGTCCGTTCGTCGTTCGGACGTTCCGCGATCTCGCGATAAATGCAATATTCACAAATGTCGAGCGGTAAACGCGGATGAATGTAATAAGATAATAATAGCGAGCGGCGGCGTGGAATGAACGTTAATTGTAAGCATTTACGGTAAACATTTGCCAGCGCGCGCAGACCCGCCGCTCCCTATTAATATTTTGTCATTTAATGAGCGATTATAATGCCACGCATGTTTCACGCGTAACGCAAGTGAGCGTCGTGTTTGCCCCGCGCGAGCGCCGCTCGAATTCGAAGTGAAAAAGGTGCGCTTGTGATCCGGCGCGCGCTCTCGACCACCGCTCGGGATTGCGGTGCACAACGAGCTGCGCTTTGAGGCGGATATTTTTTTCGGGGCTAAAACTCGGTTTCTTCAAGTTTCACCTCGAGTTGATACGAATGCGGTTTTACGATGCAATTTCGTCAAATAATTGTAAATCGTTATCTGCGTTTATGATACTTTCACCGCTCATCGGCTAATGCGATGTCAAAAATATCGCTTACTCAAAGATCTAATCTTTAGCCACATCTGTCGCACTTTCATACGCAAAAAATTGTGCTACATATTTTAGCATTGTATACATATTTGACCTTCCGTTAGACGCAATATTTTTCACCCGTGAATGATAGCAATGTATCTCACAGGTATAAATTAATTTTCTCATTATTCTCCTCTGCTCCTTGAAACAATTTTTCTCTCATCGGTTTTTTCGTCCCGCTTCATTCACGTTTCTTTCATTCTTTCACTTGGCTAATAAACCAAGCACTGAAGTATATAAAAGACAGTGAAAGACAGATTGACCAATATTAGAATCGTGTTTATTGAATATTGTGACTAACGGAGGGTTAATACGCCAAAAGAACGTGCTACGAAGTAAATAATTTCACATTTTGTCGCGTCACATTTTGTTTCTCCTATTTTTGAAGCAAGTAATAACTTGACTTGTTTAAAACTCACTTAGACTTGATTGTAAACAAGCGTGGCCTCTCGATGGAAAAGTATTTCTTGCCAATAGTTCGGGAAAAGAGTCTTTTTTAAGAGTTTCTGAAAGTATCCGAAGAAAAACTATAGTTATGTAATGATTAATAATAATCGTCAACATTTACACTACCAAAATTTGTTACATCCGGTTTGCATATTTCTGCACTTTTTAAAAATAACTGACTTATTTTAAATCCGTGTAATGTGTCTTATCGGATTCTGTGCGAGGTTTGGACAGTACCAGAAAGTAAAGATATTCGACTAAACAATATAAAATCCTCTCCGAGATGATGCAAAAATTCCTTTCTTATTCGAGAATAATACAGAACAAAAGGAGAAGCGGGGCGCCCTTTAAGGAAAATTATTCGTAAAAAGAAATGGAATTATTTTGCATTTATCTAAAGAAGAAAGCGAGATAAATGTTGGATCATCGCTTGCAAATAGATAAAAGACATTTTGCGTGTGCGAAAAATCACTTTTCTCAAAACTGGACTTTCTCGGGATTGGAGTTTTCGCGAAAAATCTTGACTTTCAAACCGTGGCCACTCAATAAAAACTTCGACAGCGCGATCCGTTTGTCCCGTTCGACGCGAGAATAAATAAAACGCGAGCTCGTTAAGCTTGCGTTATGATAATAAGGCTGCTTTCTGGGAGCACATGAAAAGATGCATCGACGGCGAATTCAGCAGAGGCGTGAAGGGGGGCGGAAAGAGGGGGGTGTACAGCACATGCAGCGACGGAAAATGGAAGAGCGAGAGAGACGGACGTTAAAGGCCGTATAAGCGACCCTTCTTATAACGTATTTACATAGGACCAATTTGCATTTCAGATGGCGAAGCTTGCGGCGCGTGCGATTTGCATATTGTCATGCGAATACCGACCGGATAAGCGAGAAACGCCTTTATCAAAGGTGCGCTCCCCGTCCCCCGTTATCGTCGCAACGACGTCTGAGGCGATTTCCGTTCGTGAGATTTCTCTTAATTTCAGCGGCACGCGATCGAAATGCAACGATCAAGTGAGGTGTCGCACGCGCATCGGGCGTTGCGCGTTATAATTATTAACGCACGGCCCGACGCGGAAAACGCGAACTTGAAAGAGCCCGCATCGATCGTGCCCGCCGGGAAAAGACGACGTCTCGGTGATCGCCCGTGAGAGATACGCGCGATATTTTATTAATGGCACGTGTGTATTTCGGGAAGCGATATCCGTTATTGCGGAAGCCCCGGCGGAAGGATGGTGGGTATTATCGGCGCGTTTCGGGACGTAAAAATAAAAAGGCGACGAAAATAAAAGATCGGCGGAATGAGCGGTAATGGAGGATACGTTGGGTAAAAGCGAAAGCAGCGAGTTCTCCCGAGGGAGTTTCGAGGTACGTAAACGCTACACGACACGATTTGCATAAATAGCAAGTCGCCGCCGGTCGCTGAAATTCCGCGAAGGCTGCCTCGCAAAAGGGGGCCTCGCACGAGGCGACCATTGTGAAAAGTGGAGGAATAATAACGAAGAAGAAGCATTCTCCCTGATGAGGGGATTTCCTTCCGGGCGGCGGCGCCTCTACAGCTTGCGGTAGCGTAAGCGCACGTTAATTAATGCGGACCAATTAAAAAAAGCGCGCGCAAGCGCGCGTCCCCGCGAGGTTGCATAATAACATCTCGACCGCGAGTGAGAGAGCTCGTTTCGAAGTTTTCGGATCTCGCCGCGAGAAAGGGAGAGAGAAAGGGAGAGAGAGAAAGAGAGAGAGGGAGAGGATAGCCCGCGGGAATTATATCTTCCGTTGGTAGTCGATTACACGTTCGGTTGAGTCGTGGCGATTCGAGTCGCGGAATCGCGGAAATTGGGTTAGCCTTTCGATCGATGCTGCTCGTGATATCGTTGATTTCGAGAGAGTGCTTTTTATCCCGGCATTGTTTCCCTCCGCGATGTGTGCGCCTATTGAAGAAGACGAAACGCCTCGACGTTATTGAGAGTAACGAATAAATTTCATCGGGATCGCGGCGAGTATATCCTCTTTCCACTCGGATCACCGATAATTAGGATAATTCGGATGATCCGAACGCAGAGATGCGAAAGTTGCGTCGATCGTGAGAACTTTCCGTTTCGCCGAATAGAACAATTCGTCTCGGTGAGCGGCGGAAATTCCTCAAAATAGTGTCGAGTCGCTCGTCGTTCTCATTCGCGTGAGAGGACGATGAAATCGATTTCGAAAAGGACGGATCAGAGGGAGACGAGGGGAAACGCGTGTCGGAGGATGAGAAAGATGCGTGCGTCGATCGATCCGGCGGATCGATCCCTCCTCACGAAGAGTCGTAAATTTTCCTGCCGCAAATGGCGAAAACACGACGCTGTGCGAAAAGTGCCGGTGGCTCTCATGCGAAAATGTACACGGATGTATGCGCGTGTGTGAGAGTATAAGAAAGGAACGCTCGTAGAAATATTTTTCACGCGTGTGTATTCTTTCGCATGAGAATGCGGTCGCGCATTCTCGTGTCTTTTTTTCTTTCGGTCACCGGAGATCGGAGATCCGTGAGAACGACACACGTGCATCCCTGACGATCGCGAGATCACACGTGAGATCGAAGTACGGCGTTGACGATGCCCGTCCGAAGGACTTCGAGGCATTACCTAACTAACGACTTAACTCTTAAGGATAACCGCCGGCAGGGACGTCATTAACGTTAACGACCACGCTGATGTGTCGAAAATGCGACTCCACGTCGCCGGATACTCCGCGCGAGATCGATCCGTCATAACGACATCGCGAGTTCAAGGGGAGGGGGGGGGGGG